CTCTCTCTCTCTCTCTCTCTCTCTCTCTCTCTCTCTCTCTCTCTCTCTCTCTCTCTCTCTCTCTCTCTCTCTCTCTCTCTCTCTCTCTCTCTCTCTCTTCCCACCACCTCAGGCCAGCACAACCTCGTGGCGTCCCTGACTCGGTTTGCACACGACCGCTCCATCTGGAGGTGTGTGTGTTTATGTGTGTGTGTGTGTGCTGTTTGGCTGCCTTGCACGCGTGCTCGTTGGCTCCTTTCATGCGCTGCTAGAGAATCTCGCTTCGCCACTGACGTGTGCCCGTGTCTTGCTGTCGGACCTGGCCCCGTCGTTGTGTTCGCCGTGGTGTGTTGCGCCCTTGCCGCACTCCAGACCCGTCTCCTTCACCGACCGCGATCGTGATGTCGCTGATGATGACGATGATGAGGATGATGGCGACGACAATGATGTCGGTGGAGTGGATGAGAAGGAGGTGGGGCAGGCTGAGGCCCGTGCTGAGCAGACTCGTCAAGTTGGTGGTGACGCCGGTGGTGCAACAAGATCGCAATCGACCAGCCCGTCTTCCACACGTGCGCCATCGCGCGTGCGCCACAGTCAGCCCGCCGCCACCGCCAGCACTGCAAGCACGAACCATACCAAGGACAGCAGTAGTAGCAGTGGTAGTAGTGGCAGTGGGATGGGCAGCCAGCAGACGGGGCCAACTGTTGTGCACACGTCGGTGCTGTCGACCTCGGAGACGTGCACGTCGCGAGTGTTTTCGATGCAGCGCGCGCGACCGGCCGTGGAGGAGGACATTTCAGATTTTACAGACAGCGACGAGTGAGGGGGCGCGTAGGAGCAGTAGAACACCTGTACATAGTGTGTGGGGGGGGGTAGGTGATGTTGGAGGAGAGATGGTGTGCGCGCGCGTGTGTGCGTGCGTTTGATGTTACCCTCTGCCTCTTGTTCTTGCAGTGTAGTGCTGTGCTGTGCTGTTCGCCTCTTTTTGTTATTCGCATCCGTGGCATCAGTTATCCGTTCTTCCGAGTTCCTCAGAGGTGGTTTGTAGACTGAGAGAAGTAAACGTATAATGGCCGTCGATGGCTGGCTGCTATGCAATGAATGTCAAGGTGTATTATGGTGGGTATGTGGTGGGTGTTGATGGATTGTAGCTTGTATGGTTACATGATGTCAGTGTCTGTGGTGCACATGGTGTAACATTTTAGTACTATGTCTTTTTGTTCTGTGCTGCGCGCCGATCGCGTGCAGCTGTGTGTAGCTGCTTTGCTGTACATTATATGCGGAGACGTTCGCGCGCCTACAACACCAACAGCACATGCTGACTGGATGTGCCAAGGTGCTACCAGTCATGTGTCGTTGCAAGTGCGCTGCACGACACATCAGCATGGCATCAACAAGAAAACCAAGGACAACAACCCAGTGAGAACGGATGATCTGGTGCTCGTATCAACGCAAGCAAGAGAGCAAGGCTGCAAGGCTACGAGCGGTGAACTGACATCGTGACGTTACAAGCGTTACGACAGCTTGCCTTTCTTGCTTCCTTGCTGTGCACCATCTGGCGTCACATGACAAAGAGCTAAGAGGTTGGGGGGGGGGCTGGAAGGGGAGTGCAACAAGACGACAAGAAGACAAGACAAGACTTTGATGAAGGTCCGATGAACGATGAGCGGCAACACAGTGCAATAGCAAACAAGACACTAAGACAGTCCTTCCATGAAATGAGCGCAATGGCAGAATTCCATTTCCCCTCATTTCCACAACACGCAAACACGTGACAAGTGCGTTTGCCTTTGCTGACTTTGATCCCACACATCACATCACTGCAAGACTGCATCACACACCAACAGCATGGCGATAAGCATATCACCGACAGTGGTGGGCACAGCTGCGACCACGGTGGCCTCTGTCATGGCGGTCAACCTCATTGGCGTGCTCTCAGCACACTTCCCGAGACATCCATCGGGGCGCGTCGGCCCATCAGGTTTGCAGGAACATACGTTGTTCTTTGTGTTGAGCTGGGGAGAGTTGCATGCCGAACGCGACCTGCATGCGACATGCTCATCAAGTCGTGCGCGCTGCTGCACGACAATAGTGGCCTCATACAACCCAACCCCTCCGCACATGCAACACACTCACCCTCTCACCCTCTCACCCACATACTCACACACGTGTGCCCAACCCATCACACCAACTTCAACGACACGCACACACACGCACACATGTACACGTGCACATCTGCAGGGCTTGTGCCACAGCGTGCCATCTCTGCGTTGGCCACCATTGCCACAGCCATCTATGTGCCGTGTCTCACGTTCTACAGCCTCGGCAGCCGCCTGTCTGTTGACGTGTTCCAGGAGGCATGGCCGGTGCTCTTCTGGGCACCATGTACGTTGTGCTGCGAAGCGTGGCCCTGGTCACGAAGCGTTGCGATTGCCCCTGCTTTCACCCCCCCCCCCTGACCACGAGGCCGACAGGCGAACACATACCCAGCGCGCTCACACTCCCAAATGCCATGCATGTTGCTCTTGAATGCGAACACCCAACAGGCAACATCACGCTGGCAGCGGTCCTTGCCTGGCTGACCACACGCATCGCGCTTGTGCCCAAGCCGTTCCGCAAGGAGTTCCTCCTCGCGTGCTCCTTCTCCAACGTTGGCGCAGTGCCGCTTGTCATGACAGAGGTGAGGTGCTTCAACACACACACACACACACACATGGCCACATGGCCACATGGCCAGCTGTACGTGTACACCGTTGCCAGTCGCGCGAGAATGTGTGTGTGTGTGCGTGTGCGTACGTGTGTTTGAATTGCGCGTGCGTAGACGTGTGTGCATGCGTGTGCACATGTGCGTGTGTGCGCAAGCACCTGTGCCAGCTTGCGCACGTCAGCAGCACAGCGAGCATCCCACACCGTCCTCGAACCTCGCCTCAACACCCCGCTCCCAATGCCGCTGCATGTCCAGGTGTTGTGCGACCAACAGCAACTAGCGCACGAGGAGGACTGCTTTGAGCGTGGAACGACGTTCATCTTCCTCTACGTATTCGGGTGGTCACTCTGCTTCTGGACCGTTGGCCTCGTCGTCATCCGCAGCTTCCAAGTAAGCGAGTGCGCATGAGTGTGTATGTTTGTTCGCGTGCGTGGAAGTGTGTGCGTTCGCACCCATGTCCCATGCACCGCCCAACGTCTTGTTCCACACAGGCTTGCTCCTTTGAGACCGTGGAACTCTTGCACACAAGCACACATACACACAAGCACACACAAGCACACACACGCATACTTACAAACATACACACAAGCACACACACACACACAAACACACAAACATACACACAAGCACCCACAAACATACACACAAGCACACACACATACATACAAACGTACACGTACCCTCATACACACACACACACACACGCGCGTGCGTGCGTGCGTGCGTGCGTACAGAACGCGGATGGAAAGACGCGGATATCGCTGTGCGAATCCCTCAAGTTCATGCTCAACCCGCCACTCCTTGGCTGCTTGATCGGCACATTTGTTGGCCTCATCGGGCCGCTTCGACGCGTCATCTTCGACGATGGCGCACCGCTGCTCTTCATCTCATCCGCCGCCAGCGCATATGGATCGAGCGTTGTCGGCATGACAACCCTGGTCATGGCCGCCACACTCGGAAAATCGCTGACATCGCTCAACCCGCTCACGTGGTTTGGTTGCCACCACCCGCGAGGCAAGGCCACCCCAACAGACCATCAGCAGCAGCAGCAACAGGAGGACAGTGGCAGCGGTGGCAGTGAGGCAAACGGGGCGCCACCAGCTGTGCTGGTGCAGAGCGCGGCGTCCCAACAACACCAACACGGGCGAGCATACGACGACACGCAATCGTCGTCGTTCGGGGCCGACAGCAGCAAACTCATGTCCCCGGTGTCGCCCGAGCTGCCAGACAGCGCACGCAGCAGCACCAGCGCGGGCTCCACGTTTGTGATTGCGGACAACACACAAGATGACACAGTGGTGGACATTGACGAAGCAATCGCAGCCGTGCGCGCACAGCAACACCGTGAGCAACAACAAGTCGACAAGCAGCAGCAGGTCCAGCAGTCCAAGGGGCTGCCCGCATCAGCAGCCGGCGGCACGACCGCTGTCGGCGATGGTGATGGTGACGAGGATGAGGAAGCGGCAACGAAGCGGTGGGATGTGCGCACGCTGGTGGCATTTGTGGTAGTGTCGATGTTTGTTGGGCCGGCGATCAAGTTTGGGATTGTGCTGCTGCTTGGGGAGAGCGTGTTTACGGGGGCGAATGCGTCGCTGCTGCAGCTTGTGCTGTCGATCCAGTGTGTGACGCCGACGGCGAACCTTGTTGTTGTTGTGAACCAGCGGGAGGGGAACCGGCGGGTGGCTGAGCGGCTGTCGCGCGGGGTTGTCATGCAGTATGTCGCAGCCATCGTCACATTGCTCATAGTGACGGCCATTGCCGTGAGCTCGTTCTACGGTGACGTGGACACGGTTGATGGCGGCCCCTCCAACGCGACGGCGGCAACCACCACCGCGCCTTGAGGAAGGGAGGACAAGCCAGGTGTAGCGTTGGGGGGGGGGGGTGGTTGATGCGTCGTGTGGTGGTGGCATTTTGGTGCTTGGTTGTGGTTGCGCTTGTTACCGCTTCTGTTTTGGCACAACCTCGCATTGCCTTTGTGTCCCTTGCTGTTTGGCGCCCCCCCCCCCTCGCGCGTCTGTGTGTGTGTGTGTGTGTGTGTGTGTGTGTGTGTGTGTGTGTGTGTGTGTGTGTGTGTGTGTGTGTGTGTGTGTGTGTGTGTGTG